GATTTGAAATTTTAGATTCATGAATTTTGTTGATAAGTTTTGAGTTTGATACGTTTTATAGTTTGATAAATTTTGTAGTTGATAACTTTTGAGTTTGATAAGTTTTGTTTTGATAAGTTATGTTGTTAGATAAGTTTTGTAGTTTGATAAGTTTTGTAATGATAAGTTTTGTCGCTGATAAGTTTTGAAAAGATAAGTTTTGTGGTGATAAGTTCAGTGACGATATGTTTTGTATGGGCTCCGAATGAACATATTTTCGTACAAGTGAAGAAAACCTGTTCTATCAAATTTAAATTTTACCGTTAATGGCACTTAAATTGTTTGTTTTAGACTTTGAAATTTCTGCACAAAAATTTATCCTTAGATGAAATTTCATTGATTCATTGATTCAATGTTAAATTGAACTAAAATTTCGTTAAATTTCGTGGTTTATGAAACTTTATCAAACAACAATAATAATTGCACTCTAAAAATCACTCAAATTAGAAAGGGCGAAAAAAATTACTTTAATCGCAAAACTTTTTTAGATCATTCGCGTAGTAAAATATTTTTTACTATTTTTGATAAACCCACTTTTGTTTAATTTACGTTAGTTCAATCGGACATTAATGCAATCGATAAAGCATCCTTTAGATAGAAGTAACTCATATTGGTCGGCAGAGGCGTTTTGGTGTTAGTTTGTTTGTTTGTATCCAATAAACGATAAAACAGCTGAACCGATAGGGCCTAAATTTTTTTTGGGACCTCAAGTGCCCCAGGGAAGGTTTATAGATGATCGAATTATAAAAAATTTGCCCTTAACAAAATTTGATTTGTAAAACGAAGCACCCTAAAACCTAGTTTAATTATATTTTAGAGGTTTAACTGGAGAATCAAACCTTTTCCTTCACATCATAGAGAACTCTAAACCCCAACCCATCTGCCTAAACTCCATAACAGGGTTAGTATTCTATATTTCCTTCACTTCATAGAGAACTCTAAACCCCAACCCATCTGCCTAAACTTCATAACAGGGTTAGTATTCTATATTTCCTTCACATCATAGAGAACTCTAAACCCCAACCCACCTGCTTAAATTCCATAACAGGGTTAGTATTCTATATTTCCTTCACATCATAGAGAACTCTAAACACCAACCCATCTGCCTAAACTCCATAATAGGGTTAGTATTCTATATTTCTTCACATCATGGAGAACTCTAAACCCCAACCCATCTGCCTAAACTCCATAACAGGGTTAGTATTCTATATTTTCTTCACATCATGGAGAACTCTAAACCTAAACCCATCTGCCTAAACTCCATAACAGGGTTTGTATTTCTACATTCTACATTTTACAAATTCTACATTTTACAGTGCTTCTCTTTTAAACAAATGGATCGCAAACATGTTCTGCTCCAATTACCATAGTTCCATTTTAGGATCAGGATCCATAACATTTTGGTTTCCTGGATCCGGATCCACAAACATTTGAGGAAAATATCATATCAAATAATACCCCTGGTCAACAGGAATCTTATAAAAGAAAACGATTCTCTATTTTGTTGCCATATTTGTTTTAATGGTTATTTTGTCTTGTTCAGATTAATAGAGAAAAATCAGACATTTTCAGGATCAAATGGGCGTAAAATGACGGTTTCAAGGGTTCAACAGAAAATTAATTACACATTTTTTTTTATTTATTTAACAATAGTTATTTTGTAAGATCTCAGAACTTTTATTTTAAAAATATTTTTTTCTTTTTACAGGAGGAGTATTTCGCTACTTTCTCACCAGGAAAAATTACTCGAATAAAGTTATTTTACTTTTTATCTGGTAGTAACTAAATTTAATTAAAAAAAAGAACTATATCTTAATTGAACCTGTTACGCGAGCCATGCTGCGTGTATAAAGTCTGCTTGTCACCCCTGTGTATTTCTGAGTTCTCCCTGAAGATCTGTACGGAATGTATTGTGAAAGAACTAGTTTTAGGAACTGTTTACAGACTGACTACGCAGGCGCAAGATTTCTCGCGGAGTAGTAAATAGTTTATATCAGTATATCTTTATTCGTCTTGCAAGTTTTAACCGTGTCCAGAATTCTGGGATCACTGTGGTAATTATTCTTATATATACTTATGCTTATCGTTTGATTATAGTATGATTGATATTTGTATATGTGTTTGTTGGTTCCTCGCCACAGTTTTTTAATGCCTGAGTGAATTATTTGTTGTATTCGTATGATTTATCACTCAAAGCTTTTTCTGTGGGTTTATTAAACTTATTTAGATTGAAGACTCAGAGAAATAAACGTTCGGAACCTTATTATCATCCTTTTGTTATGAAGAGCATTGAGAGAAGGGAGTCTTACGATCCGGTCCTGAGAAATACCACACGGTACATATATTAGGTCTTTAGGGAAATCGCTAAGTAGCGAAACAGAACCTTGTCTGCTGAACACACGGAGTGTCCCACTAAACATGATAAGGAAAAAATATTTTTGATTTTATTCCAATTAATGACGAAGTGCGTAGCCAAAAAAAATTTAATCGCTTAAAAGACTCCCAAAATAAAACAAACTAGCTATGTATCTGAAAGTTAACCAAAATACCTTAACTGCATAATAAGCTAAAATCTTTTTTATAGTAAGCAGATTATTGAGTTATTTTCGATATGTAAAAATGTTAACAAATCTACCTTTTTCATCGGCGAACTGAATATTCTGGAAATTTTGGGTCCTACATTATCCTTTAGAGTACATATGCAAGATCTTTTTAATAGAATCAGTGGCGGATTAAGGGGGGGGGGCCACGCCCCTTTCTGAGCTCCTGAAAGGGGAGGGTCTGGCCCCCCTAAGGAAATCCATTATATGAAATAAAAGCATCAAGGTATGTAAGATACAACGAAAATAAAATTGAATAAATGAACTGAAATACCCGGTAAAATTGTTCTCTCATCTTATTATTTATACTTATATGCCTGTAAAATTACAGATAAAAAGTGGGAGAACTGGAGTTAAATAGAAAATAGGAGAACTGGAGTTTACAGATAGAACGTAGGAGAACTGGAGTTTACAGATAGAACATAGGAGAACTGGAGTTTACAGATAGAACGTAGGAGAACTGGAGTTTACAGATAGAACGTAGGAGAACTGGAGTTTACAGATAGAAAATATGAGAACTGAGTTTACAGATAGAAAGTATGAGAACTGGAGATTACAGATAGAAAGTAGGAGAACTGGAGTTTACAGATAGAACGTAGGAGAACTGGAGTTTACAGATAGAAAATATGAGAACTGAGTTTACAGATAGAAACTGGAGTTTACAGATAGAAACTAGGAGAACTGAAGTTTACAGATAGAAAGTATGAGAACTGGAGTTTACAAATAGAAAGTAGGACTGTAGTAAACATCATACTATTAAAAGTTCGTCCCAAACTGTACCAGTCCAGGTAACATCCGTCTGCTATCAAAGTCAAACAGGACACGATCCAGACGGCTGCAAACCCGGGAACTATCAACACCACTACACTGGGCGCGATTTCATTAGCTATCAGTGTCAATACGGGCACTAACAATCAATTGATCAATGTCTCAACTAGGACACGATCCACACGGGCTACAATCCTTTGAACTATCAACACCACTACACTGGGCGCGATCATTAGCTATCAGTGTCAATACGGACAATCAATTGATCAATGTCTAAAACAGGACACGATCCACACGAAACCAAATTACACGATACTTATTACAAATGGATATTTATTACAGGACAGCCAGAGTTTACAAATAGAAAGTGGAATAACTGGAGTTTACAGATAGACAGTATGAGAACTGGAATTTAAAGATAGAAAGTAGGAGAACTGGAGTTTACAGATAGAAAGTGGTGGAACTGGAGTTGGTAAACTTATATTTTTTGATCAAATAAGAAATTGGAATTTAACGCTTTTCTTTCAGTTTTCAGTTCAATTTTTTTTCGCGCATATGCGCGTGGTTACGCCCCCCCTTGTCATATTCTTTAATGTTTAAGCGCCCGCCCCTGAATAGAATTAGCTGATCTAATTACTTAACAAGATATAAGATCTACGCTGAGAAATTCCATTAGTAGTAGAGTAATTAGTATTATTACCCAGCTATGCAGAGAACTGGGATTCCAGACTTATTCTAGTGCACATCCTCGACATATAGACCAGTTTTCAGGAACCAACTACTTTTTTCGACACGCAGAAAATATATTTTAATTCCTTTACTCAGTAGTTTTGTGCAAACAAAATAAATGTTTCCTTTTTTTGATTTATAAATAATTATTTCTGAAAAAGAGATTTTTAAATTTAAATTTTTGAATTTTAAATTTAAATATTGTGTTTTTTCTGAAATAATTTTTCTTTTATATTTTAAACCTTCGGGTGATTTTCTAATCAGAAATAATTTTGTGAAAACTATTTTGAGGAAAAATACCATTTGGTGCAAAAGTAAAATAAATTTTTATTAGGCTGCAGTGCATATCAGGGCGCTTCACGCCTTTTTTCAAATTACGTTCTTCCTTTTGAACAGTTTCCATTTTTTCCGCCATTAATCGTAGTACTACAAAAGAGCAAAAATTTTAGTAGATTTTTTTTTGAAATTGATTATTTTTCGAAAACGATAATGTCGACACTGTCTTATTTAACCGTTCATAAACCTTCCTTGATTTGCCACCAAAAAAAATTAGACTCGATGGGTTTAGTAATTTTGACGTATATTGGAAACAAACAAATGTGCAAAGCAAATACATAATTAGATAGATAATTTTCTTAATTAATTTTTCATACAAACTTAACTTCTACCCAAGGTCTCCAGTTTCTCAGAAATTTTATTTTGGAGAATAATTACCTAATGAGTCCTTTTGTAATTTTACGAAACTTATGAATAAAAAAAAACTCGTTTAAACATGTGCGAACTTTGCAATGACAATAAATTACGAAGTTAAGATGATTTTTTTCAATTTCAAGGATGACAATCAGAAGAAGTTTTTCAAATGTTGAGCTAAAATTTTTCTTATCTTTATACATAAAGTAGCAACCTCTGTTTGTCTGTCCAATCACAGCACAATGTTGAGTTAGTCGGCATTTATCGGAAAAGTTTAGATTTCTAGGCAAAGCTGGGTTCCCAAGCTAGTTTAAAATAAAGGAAAGAGAAGAATTAATGAATAAAGAAAATTTAAATGATATTCAAATAAAATATCTCATCAAACTTGTTAAACATATTTAAAAAGTTACAAATTTGTTGATGAATAAAGTGTCAATGGTTTAGTGTCAACAGATACTACTGCCTCCTCTTCTATAGAATGCAGGAACTAAAGACATATTTACATATTTTAAACTCAAAGAAACTAAATACTCGCAACAAAATTAAATTTTAAATTCCTATTTCTTTTCAACCTTATGGTATAAACCTTTAATAATGTAAACGTTGACTATTATATCTTGCAGAGTTCATAGTTTGAAAGTCAACAGTTGGAAAGAGGGGTTTATTCAGAAACTTTCCCAGTTGGGGCCCAAAATAACATGAAAACCATTGATTTTACTGATCCGGGGGGGGGGGGGAGCTCACATACCCTCCCACTTAATACCCCCCTTGATTTCGAAAATTTAAAATTCATGAGAAGTTTTATGAATAATCTCGTTTTTAAACTGTTCTTAAATATTTATTTTTGCTTTATTTTTGTCCTTTTTGACATATTTCACCTAAAATAAATATCTAGACCCTTTTGTGAGTTTTGCGAAGAATGACATAATCTTTAGTCAAGACAGATCTAACTATTCTATATCCTGCATTAGAATCATATCAACCCAACCTTGCTCATTTTTCCTCCAGGTTTGTCACCTTGGTTTAAAAATTTAAGGTTAGTGGGTTAACTTTAAAAATTTAAGGTTGAGTTGGTTTATTCCAAAAAATTTAAAGTGAAGTGGGATAATTCTAAAAATATTAAATTGAGTGGGTTCACTTAAAGAATTTAAGGTTGAGTGGGTTCACTTAAAAAATTTAAGGTTGAGTGGATTAATTCTAAAAATTTATGGTTGAGGCCGGTTATTACAAAAGGTTTGATTGGGTTAACTTTAAAAATTTTAAATTGAGTCGGTTACCTTTAAAAAATTAAGGTTGAGTGGGTTAATTCTAAAAATTCAAGTTTAAGTGGGTTAATTAAAAAAATTTTAGGTTGAGTGAATTAACTTTAAAAATTTTAAGTTGAGTGGGTTAATTCTCAAAATTTAAGGTTGAGTGGGTTACCTTTAAAAATTTAAAGTTGAGTGGGTTACCTTTAAAAATTTTAAGTTTAGAGGGTTAACTTTAGAAATTTAAGGTTGAGTGGGTTAATTCTAAAAATTTAAAGTTGAGTGAGTTAACTATAAAAATTTAAGTTTGAGTGGGTTAACTTTTATAAAGAAATTATAGTTACCAGGAAAAGCTCAGAACGCCTAAAATTTTAGCTTTTGAAATTTTTTGCTGAAACGTCATGTATTGGTATCACAGTAACAAAATCGAGGGGGGGGGTTTCAGGCTTTTTTGGCAGAGGAGATGTCTGTAGGAATATGATAATCTTATGAGGAAAAAAATGTAATAATGGAAATTCTTAAACGAGATGAAATAATCTTGATGCATTCTTTAACGAAGGCCGCAGGCCTGAGTTAAAGAATGCATCAAGATTATTTCATCGAGTTTAAGAATTCCATTATTACATTTTTATCCTCATAAGATTATTATTATATCATATTTGTGAGGTTCCATGGGCACATACCCAAGAAATTATATTAAAAAATAATTCTGGTGAAATCCGACTATTTTAAGTTGGAACAGTTCACATTATGAAAGGTTGCAAATAAGTTTTATGCTCTTGTTCTGACTAAAGCTTTTTTATTTTTCTAATGTTAAAAAAACATTTTAAAAGTAAAAATTGGTTCTTAATTTGAAAGTAATGCATGTGGTGTGATTGTTTCCTTAATTTAGTTTAGTTTAGTTTGTTTACCAATTTCTAATGATTTTGCTCGTTTTTTCAAGTTATTGATATACAGCATGTTAAATGTGCCCTGAGTTTTTTTTAGATGGTGAGAAGGTATTGTATTGGGTTGTCTTAATCTACTGAACAATATCGTGTCTTCATTTATAGAAGAAATCATTTTCTGGATATTAGATCCTAAATCTTCCAAAAAGAGGAGATAAAATCAGGTTATCTAGTAAGAATCAGTTCAACATGAACTGATGAAGATCTTTGTCTTTTATTCATGAAGCAAGATTTACTGGTTTGTTTTCATTGCTATGGAGTGCTAAGACTCCATTAAAAATGTGACACTAATATTTCAATGATAAGTTTTTATATTTTTTTTGGTTTTGATTGTGGTTTCACTTCCTCATCTCGAACTTTGTGAGATATGGTGACTCAGACTGAAAAGCTCTGACCATACTATACAAGTATGCAGAGATTTGCAAAATCTCACCGAACTTGGTTTGAATGAAAATGAACTGAAAAAAAATTAATAAAGTAGGCAGTCGGGCAGTATGCTTTAAGACTCGGCAGTTTGATGGAAGTGTCTAATGGAAGGCTAAAAGCATCGTCCATATTTTTGAGAATGGTCAGAAAATGTTAATTTCCACTCTTCTGTCAGGACTAGGGTTGAGATTCAAATTGATATTTCTGAATTAAGGTATATCAATACTTCAAAAAACAAAAAAGGTAAGTGAGCATGAAAAGGTAAGTGAGCATGTTTTAATAAAGTAAAAAAGGTAAGTTTGCATGTTTTGATATAAAAGAAAAAGGTAAGTGAGCATGTTGTTTTTAAGTTAAAAAAGGTAAGTTTGTATGTATTAATGTAAAAGAAAAAGGTGAGTTTGCCCTGTGCATGTTGTCAGTACAAAATAATTAAGTTAATATCTATATTGATCTATACTGAAAGATCAATATAAGGAGCGTGTAAGAATGAATATTCTTCAACTAGTGTAAGAATTTCCATTCTTTAATGCTTGGAGCGTGTAAGAATATACATTCGTTCACGCTCTGACCGTGTAATAATTCCCATTCTTACACGGTCGGAGCGTTAAAGAATGAAAATTCTACACCTTCAGTGTAAGAATAAGCATTCTTAAACGCAAGGAAGCGAACAATATTAAAATTTTCCTCCTGAACCGTGTAATAATGGGAATTCTTACACGATAGCTTTACTACTATGGAACCGAACAGATATGATATAATAAGGTTTATGTTTTGTTTTCAAGGTTGCATGTGGAGACTGCCACAGATCAGAAATACTCAGGGAAATAGAATCAAGTTAATCGTCACCACAACCCTTTTTGAAATGTTTTGTAAGTTAAAAAATTGTTTATTTTATAAATTTAGATTTTACTTGAATTTGAATTAAATATATCTAAGCTTTTCCTCTTTTGTGCACAAGAATATTCTCACTTTTATGCAAATGTGTTATTGGAACTCTGTCTTTACCATGTATTCATATTTCTTTACTTTTATGTCTGTTTCTTTACAGGGAAACTGGCGAACTAACAATCAGGAATTCAGATTAAAATTGATTTAAATGTTGGTTTAAAAAAAATTCATGTAGAAAGATTGAACTAATGAACGAATGTATTTCACACAAGTTCAGTGTGTTCTTTTAAAAAATCTCAATTTGATCGGTATTCTTTTTAGATTTTAAGGAAATTTTGAGTAGAAACGAATGAAAAGTTCGTGAGTTTCTCTTTATTGTACACAAAGTGTACATATGATTGTTTGTTACACTCCTCAATTTTGCGTTTTAGTATTTCTCAATGGTTGCGTAATACTAAAGCGTCCGTCAAAAGTGGTTTCAACCTCAGTGCATTGTATCTCATTGTATCTCTGGATTGCTGTTAACATCATCAGGTCTCCTTGGTTTTCTTGGTTTCCTTAGTTTCCCTGGTTTCCTTTGTTTCTTCAGTTTCACTGGTTTCCTTGGTTTCCCTGATTTCCGTAATTACCCTGTATCCCCTGATGTCCCTAGTTTCCTTGGTTTCTGTAGTTGCCTGGGAGTTTCTGGTTTCCGTAATTAACCTATAAAACGACGTAAATCGGTCACTCTACTGTTTAATAAAGAATACTATTCCAGTATTCACGTTGTCATTATTCTGCTGGGTTGATCGTAAACCTGACTACTTTCCAATTTGTTCATTCGCTCACAGTAGGATTCAAGAAATCAGCTGCAGGTTCAATCTATAAACAGAAAGACGGTCTTATATAAATATAGTAAGAATAAATGAACTATGTACAATCTTAGGATAGACCCCGTTCTTTTGTTTCTATGGGCTAAAACAAAACAAATCTAATGTGATTTGGTTCACCCTGTAAAATACATAAAATATAGCGTAAAACCCAGATACAACATACTTCAATTTGACTAGCAAAATCCTCACAAGTACTCAGTTTTATTTATTATTGTCAACACTTTTTCTCTAGAAATCTGCCAAAACCCGGTTTAAATTAAGCGCCGGCTTAAATCTTGAAACATTTGATACAATTTTAAGCGGAACCAATGATATTTAAGCCGCCGCTCAAATTCTTTAAATTCGGCCTCTGGTTTCCCTAGTTTCTCTGGTCAGCTTTATATGTTATTAAATCATTAGTCAAATATCTATCTAGCTATCTATCAAATATCTACATTTTATGTAAAGAAACCTAAAGAAAGAAAATTGACTTTTTCCAAAATAATGTTTGCTTGAATATTTTTCTAATGAAAGTTTTTACATTTCATCCTTACCTTGAGGCCTATTTGGTTGAGGTTGGGACCTTGATCTTGGAAAATGTCCGCTCCATTACGCCAGATTCTTTTGAATACTAATGTGAATTTCGGTATTTCTCCCAAGCTGCTGTCTAGATTTGGAGATTTTTATTGCAGTCGATAGAGTTTTTATTTGATTTCTCTTCATAAACCTTGGAAGCAAGTTTAACTTTGAGTTTAATCTCAGTTCTCCTCTGTATCCTGTTCTACAACCCTACATGATTTGTCAGTACGATCTTCAAGTTGAAAAAAACATGGTAAGTTGATTTAAGATTTGAGACATAAAAACCAAAAAAACATATTTTCCTTATAAGCATAGTAATGAATAACAAAATTAGTAAAGGTCGGTCAATCTTGACTAAAAAACATTTCTAATGCCTTATTCTGAAATATAATGTAATTACTCCTATTTCATTACATTTTCTTTCTTCTATGGTTTGTTATGGTATAATAGGTATTAATTTCCTTTCATGGGTAATGGATATCTTTATTTCTGGAGTTGAGAAGATTTTGTTTATAATATTCAGATAATAGATATTCTGTAGTCTGTACAGTCAAATTTCTGTAATATTTATTTAGTCTATACAGTCAAATTTCTTTAATATTTATTTAGTCTATACAGTTAAATTTCTGTAATATTTATTTAGTCTATACAGTCAAATTTCTGTGATATTTCTTCTAGCCTTTATAGAATTGTTCACCCCTCCGGTATTTAACGTCCAGAAATAGATAAATTATAAGAATAATTTGAAATTTAAAGCAGAGCATTTCTAGTTTAATCAAACTTAAAACTTGTAAAACTATTAATAGTGAATATTTATTTCATAGTTGTAGATATTTAAATATTCAGTTGGCCAACTTTATGAAATTCTGAAAATATTTAAATATTCAGTTGGCCAACTTTCTGAAATTCTGAAAATATTTAAATATTCAGTTGGCCAACTTTCTGAAATTCTGAAAAGGAAAATGTAGAAAATATTTTCAGGAATTAAGTTAGAAATTTTTTCTTATTTAAATAAAAACTTATTAATGCAGGGGTCTTTTTCTTTATAAAAAAAAGTGTGCTGTCAAATCAAAAATAATTGATTTGTTGTTAATTTTCAAATGAGAAAAATATGCTTTATGATTAATAGATAGATAAAACCCAAAGAATCGAAAAATACCTAATTTAAGGCATGTAACGCTAAAAAATTTTGATTGTAGGTAAAAAGTGATAAAAGATGTATGTTAAAAAAGGTGTGAAAATTTAGATTTTCAATAAGTTTTCCAGTTTCTTAAGATTTTTACTGTAATGATTACAAAGTTTATAAATCGCAAAAAAAACAGAATTTGCGAGAACAAAATTGTTAAATGTAGTAGTCACTCTTTTTTCAGAGATTTGGTGAACTGGTGATAGATAAACTCAGCTTATCAGATCCCATCCCGACCTCACAGAATTCAGGATCTTATTGTTTAAACTCATTCCTACAGATTCAAGGTTAGATCCTCCAGATACAAGGTTAGATACTCCAGATACAAGGTTAGATACTACAGATACAAGGTTAGATACTACAGATACAAGGTTAGATAATACAGATACAAGGTTAGATACTCCAGATACAAGGTTAGATACTACAGATAGAAGGTTAGATACTCCAGATATACTCCAGATACAAGGTTAGATACTCCAGATACAAGGTTAGATACTCCAGATACAAGGTTAGATACTCCAGATACAAGGTTAGATACTCAAGATTCAAGGTTAGATACTCCAGATACAAGGTTAGATACTACAGATACAAGGTTAGACACTCCAGATACAAGGTTAGATACTACAGATACATGGTTAGATACTCCAGATACAAGGTTAGATACTACAAATACAAGGTTAGATACTCCAGATACAAGGTTAGACACTACAGATTCAAGGTTAGATACTCCAGATACAAGGTTAGATACTTCAGATACAAGATTAGATACTCCAGATACAAGGCTAGATAACTACAGATAGCTAGATACTACAGATACAATGTTAGATACTCCAGATTTAAGGTTAGATACTCCAGATACAAGGTCAGATACTCCAGATACAAGGTTAGATACTCCAGATACAATGTTAGATACTCCAGATACAATGTTAGATACTCCAGATACAAGGTTAGATACTCCAGATACAAGGTTAGATACTCCAGATACAAGTTAGATACTCCAGATACAAGATTAGATACTCCAGATCCTCCAGATACAATGTTAGATACTCCAGATACAAGGTTAGATACTCCAGATACAAGGTTAGATACTCCAGATACAATGTTAGATACTCCAGATACAAGGTTAGATACTACAGATACAAGGTTAGATACTACAGATACAAGGATAAATACTACAGATACAAGGTTAGATACTCCAGATACAAGGTTAGATACTCCAGATACAAGATTAGATACTCCAGATACAAGATTAGATACTCCAGATACGAGGTTAGATACTCCAGATACAAGATTAGATCCTTCAGATTCAAGGTTAGATACTCCAGATACAAGGTTAGATACTCCAGATACGAGGTTAAATACTCCAGATACAAGATTAGATCCTTCAGATTCAAGGTTAGATACTCCAGATAAAAGGATAGATACTACAGATACAAGGTTAGATACTCCAGATACAAGGTTAGATACTCCAGATACAAGATTAGATACTCCAGATGCAAGGTTAGATACTACAGATTCAAGATTAGATACTCCAGATACAAGGTTAGATACTCCAGATACAAGATTAGATACTCCAGATACAAGGTTAGATACTCCAGATACGAGGTTAGATACTACAGATACAAGGTTAGATACTACAGATACAAGGTTAGATACTCAGATAGAAGGTTAGATACTCCAGATACAAGCTTAGATACTCCAGAAACAAGGTTAGATACTACAGATACAAGGTTAGATACTACAGATACAAGGTTAGATACTCCAGATACAAGGTTAGATACTACAGATTCAAGATTAGATACTCCAGATTTAAGGTTACTTTCTCCACATACAAGGTTAGTTACTCCAGGTACTCTGCTGGCGAATCCTTCCAACCTCAGCTATGTATTCTTCTCCTTCCTACCCTCTGTATCCTTCCCCTTCCTACCCTCTTTATTATTCTACTTCCTACCCTCTGTATCCTACTTCCTACCATCTGTCTCCTCTTTCTTCCTACCCTCTGTATCCTTCTCCTTCCTACTCTCTATATCTCTCTCCTTTAAGTACTTGAAGGTTGTTGAGGAAAGTTTGATATAGGATTAGTAGAAAACTTTATCCTAAAATCTGTTTTCCTTTTAAGTCAATTATTACTTAATTTACGTTTGCTTAAAATGTTTTTCTCATACCTTAGTCCTAGAATAATAATTTGGTTGAAATGTAACTCATTTTTCATAATTCATATTTTTATTCAACTACAAAGCACGAGATAATACAAATAAAAAATCACAATTTACTACGGAGTTTGGACCCGCCTAACCAGAGTTGGTTGTTTTGATTGGTTGGCCCATTATAAAGGAATAAGAATTGTAAGTAAATAGATGGATTTACACTGTAAGTTTACATTTTAAACAAAACAATGATGATAAATCAGGAATAAAGTAAGGAGGGGCTGAAAAAGTATAAGGGAAAGGGTGGGTACTCAGCGGAAGGGTTGTAATGGAGGGTAACATACAATATTAGAATCATGTTTATGAATTACAGGGTGAAGAAGATTGCGACTAAGTTTATCCACATGAAAAACAGTTATTTTTTTTACAGATATAACTTGCAAAACTATCTAAATAGTTTTTGAAGATTTTTCTTTTAAACAATTTTGCAGATTTAGTTTCTTTAAGCTCTAATTCAACTCAAATTATAAACTGATACTAATTAGATTGAAGTGTAACTCAAGCATTACAAGCTTGAGACCTCACTTTAATTTTGTTTTATTAAATTCACTTCAAATTTGGAGGATGGAAAGTAGGTCGTACCTTCATGTCTGATTTGATTTGATTGAAAGATCTCTGTAAGGTGGAGAGAACAGTATGTCCCTGAGAAGTGTTGAAACTCTGTGTGGAGAAATAAGAAACCAATCCATCTCTATTCAGGACAGGTTTATCAGGTAGTTTAGCTAGGTCAGGTAGTTTAGCTAGGTCAGGTAGTTCAGGTAGTTCGGGAAGTTTAGGTAGTTCAAGTCGTTTAAGTAGTTCTGGTAGTTCAGGTAGTTTATAGTATAGTTCAGATAGTTCGGGAAGTTCAAGAAGTTCAGGTAATTCAGGTATATCAGGTGGTTCAAGTAGTTTAGGTTGTTCAGGTTGTTCAAGTTGTTCAGGTTGTTCAAGTTGTTCAGGTAGTTCGAGTAGTTCAGGTAGTTTAGGTCGTTTAGGTCGTTTAGGTTGTTTAGATAGTTGAGTATAGTTAAGATAGTTCAGGCAGCTAAGTTATTTAAGTATAGTTCAGGTAGTTCAGGTAGTTTTGTTAGTTAAGTATAGTTTAGGTAGTTTAGGTAGTTTAGGTAGTTTAGTTAGTTCAGTATAGTTCAGGTAGTTAAGATAGTAAAGCATAGTTCAGGTAGTCAATGCAGTTTAGTTAGTAAAGTTTAGTGAGGTAGTTTAGTTAATTAAGTATAGTTCAAGTAGTCCATGTAGTTTAGTTAGTAAAGTATAGTTTAGGTATTTCAGGTATTTTGGTTAGAAACATTTAGTGGGGTAGTTTAGTTAGTAAAGTAAAGTTCTGGTATTCAGGTAGTTTAGTTAGTAAAGTTTAGCACCGGTAGTCGATGTATAGTTTAGTTAGTAAATTATAGCTCAGTTATTTCAGGTAGTTTAGTTAGTAAATTATAGTTCAGGTAGTTTAGTTAGTAAAGTTTAGATCAGGTAGTTTAGTTATTATAGTTTAGTTCAGGTAGTTTACTTAGCAAAGTTTAGTGATAAAGTTAGTTAGTTAAGTATAGTTCAGGTAGTCTATGTAGTTTAGTTAGTAAAGTATACTTCAGGTAGTTCTGGTAGTTAAGTTAGTAAAGTATAGTTCTGGTAGTTCTGGTAGTTTAGTTAGTAAAGTATAGTTCTGGTAGTTCAGGTAGTTTAGTTAGTTATGTATAGATTAGGCAATAGGCATAGTTTAGTTAGTAAAGTTTAGTGAGGTAGTTTAGTTAGTAAAGTATAGTTCAGGTAGTCCATGTATTACATTCGATCATAAATTTTTAGTAGAGTTTAAAAATGTACAAAATCGTTAATGTTGGTCCAAAATTGAGGATCTAGCTACCACTACAGGTTTTTTATACCCTGTATCTTTTGATATATCTAAGGTCTATGGTATTGGGTTGAAAAGAATTAGAGATTAGAAAATCAGAGTTTGCGGTAAAGACTCGATTTTTTTTGCATTTGTTGCATGGATGTTGTTCTGAATTTATTATATAAATGAATATAAAGCGATATTTAAGGAAGCACAAATCAGCTTCTATTATAAGGTTTTCAATTTGCATAACTTAGGCTGCTTAGCAATCGAATCTATAGTGCTTTATTAAAATAATGTAACTAAAAGTTGTATGAAAACTGAGCAAAACATAAAGTTACATTTGGGGGGAAAGTAAAAAAATTAACAATTTTAGTATTTTGTTCATCTAAAGAGTTAGTTTCAGTTCTTGGATTTATGATTTGTCGGGTTTAGATTAACCATAGCATTCAAAGTTCAGGTTTATAGTATCTGTTTCTAGGTTGGTACTTGTAACTGGAGGCAAACCTTGGGGATTATCTGGGTTTAAAATTACAGTTCTCAGCTCTGGATCTATACCCTCTACTGCATCTAAGGTTAAGTTATTCCCCCCCCCCCTCAGAAAAATAATTATTTGAATACAATAAACACAAAAATCACAAATTGGTTGAAAAGAGTTTTTCCTTTTTCTACTTATGGTTCAGGTTCTTATGAAAATAATTTTCTGAAAACGACCAAACTTAATAATCTCAAAATATTGGATGGGAGGTGGAAAACTTAGATCCGTGAAGAGTCGTTATTTAAGAAAATCGAAATTGAATTAAATAGGTCATAAGTTGCCCCCTACTAAAGTTGCGTTCAAGTTTTTAGGGGGTGGAAATCCCCATTCATGGAGAAAACATTGGAAACATTCTCTTGGTTCACCCCAAAACTAAGAATTTTTAAATGTCCCAGTTCCCGAAATGTTACACCTCCAAATGTTGATTTGTATCATTTTCCCAAAAGTTGTGATAAGATTCTAAAAATGTCCAGAAATTTTCGCGACAGACCCAAAATCTAGCGTTTTTAGTAGACCCTCTCCACTGCCATTGCACAATGTATACAAGATACTAATATAAGATAAGTTGGCACCTGGAGCACACTGATCTAACAATACTAGGCAACTAATCACCTAGGTTTGGCTAAACATTCACTTCTCTCCTTTCCTCACCTAGTAATCTTGGCGGGGATTTATTTTCTTACAGATTCAACACTCAGACAAGAAAGTTATAAATCATAATAATGAACTGAAGGACTGACAATGGCGGTATAAATGATCAAACGAAAAAGAAGATTTTTAGAATTAAATTTCAAAGCTTTTGAGTTTTGATGAACATATTTTTTAATTGACTGTAAACGTAATTTTAAGTGACTCTCCATTGATAGTGGCATGTCAGATTATCCTCCATTGATAGTGGCATGTCAGATTATCCTCCATTGATAGTGGCATGTCAGATTATCCTTGTTTTTGCTATGAAAACTGATAATTTTCATTTGTGGTTTATCGACAAAATTACCACCCGTTTTGCGAAGTTTTTGGGAAAACTTGTAAATTATTTACAACTACTTAACAGGGAAGTTCCCAAGACCTAAGGGACCTTAAGTAAAATAACCTCCCTCTGTTGGGGGAATCATAGGGCGTTAATGTTGGTCAAAAAGCGGTAAAATAATTATTAATGAATCCTCTCTCAATAAACTTATTTCTCAACGGCTTTTTCTCAACTTGATTTATGAATAATATTTACCCCAGTCTCACCCATTTTTCAAATTAGCAACATAAATCTTACTTTTTACAGAATCCTTTAAAAAAAAACTCCCCCTATTCCTCAATGGCTTTTTCTAATCATGATATCTTAATAATTTCTAAACCCATCTAAATATTATCTATGCTTCCCATAGAGAGATGTTTTATTAATTGTTCGTCTAGAGGATATAAATAAAAGGGTTGTTGGCCAACCTATAAAAGAATTGGATCTAATCTGCTCTGAAGAGCCAACTTAACATATTTTATCTAAAACAACCTTTATTAAAAAACATATCTACTCGACAGCAAAATTTAGAGAATACTGCTTTTGTAAAAAAAATTAAGATATGTTAGAAACAAAATTAAGAAAGCTTTAAAATACTTTTGTTTGTTGAGATAAACTTTTCTTATCTTTCTGTTGGAAAGTTTTCACTGGAAAACCTCTCTTTCACCTGTAGATAAGGTTTCCTAGAAACCCTTCCATTTTGTAGATATTTATTTTTTGTTGCAGATTTTCCTGTTTTTTGTAACCTTCTTTTGTGTGTTTATCGGTCTTGGATCATTTCTGTTCTGTATAGGCTGCCTTGTGAAAACGAAGGTAGGCAGTATTTTTATTTTTATCATTTTAGTCTTAAAAAGGGATAAAACCTGGGTTCCATTGAGTACAGATGAACTCAATCTGTGGGATTTTTGCATATGCATGCATAATAATTTTGTAAACTGTTTTTTTCAATGCCAAGTCTCCATAGTAGATGCGGGTGGATCGCAATTGCTCAAAAATAGCTCAAAATCTAAGCTTTAGCTGGCTAACTTATCTGAAGAAATTTTAAAGGAATTGAGTTTTTGTCACAAACTCTGATATTCTAATCCCTATATCTTTTTAACCCGATGTCGTAGACCATTGATATTTCAAACTACGAAAGCTGTTATATTAAATAATCTAAGTTTGAAATATCAAATATACTCCATCAGATTGTAAAGATATAGGAATTAGAAAATTTGCGTTTGTGGCAAAGACTCAATTCCTTTATCTTGTTAAATGCCATTACAAAATATTGTATCGGTAGAACCAAAAAACTATTTTTCAATGCCCCCGTTATGTATATCATGACACAAATTTTGTGGATCATTCTGCAAAACATTACTCCTTATAGTAATAGTTGTGAATTATTTAAAAGTTTTTTATTATTAACATTTATACATATTTTTATTTTTATTGAAATAAATTTTTACCGAAATTGGGCCAAACTTTCTTGAAATTGAAAAAAAAGAATGCATACTTAGCTATCAATAAGCATTTATGTTGATGAAATTATATGTATAAACTCCGTCATCCAAGTTCACACATAAGATTAAAGGGCGCTGTTGTCATGTGACGCATACAAAGTTTCAAATCCATTTTTTGTGCTTTTCTGAATATCTTTGGAGTTTGTACAGGAATTGAATTTTTGTCACAAACTCTAATTTTCCAATCCTATAACTTAGCAACCCAATGTTGTAGACCTTAGGCAATTCAAACCAAGATTTTAGTGAGATAAAATAATCTAAGTTTGAAATGACAAAGGTTTACACCATCAGGTAGCAAAGATATAGAGATTTAAAAGTTTGAGTTTGAGAACTCGGTTTCTTTTGATAAAGATTTGTTAACAAAAATAGGTTTATATTCTTTACTATTTTCTGCGCAAAAAAAACATTTCATATTTTTAAAAAATCAGTTTTTTACTTCAAGAAAATTAAATTATATTCTTCAAAATTGTACTCTTTCTTTAAAATTTTAGATTTTATAAGAAACATTCTGCGAGGGGGAAATATTCTTTTATTGAAAGTAAATAGCCCTGGAATATGTGCTTATATTCCTAGAGTTGGATATTATTGAGAGATAAAGAGGATTTACAGTGTATTGTAATAGAATATGGAGAACTGTAATGGAGGGATACAAAGTACTTTGAACACACTACTGGCCGACTGGAGGGAGGAGGGGTTCGTTGGGACCTGTTAGTAATACATTAATATTTCTTTTTGTATTTATCAATTGATTTCAGTTTTTTGTTGAATCATAAGATTTAAGAGTTTTTTTTCTCTTTTTATTGAAAGGTTTTTTCCGACATTTTGCCTGGGCCTTGTTTTTTTTATTTGATTTAGCTCTGTGGAAAAGCTAACGAAATATTTGATAATAAGAAAATATCAAATTCACCAAATATGAAAATAAAATAGGAAAAATTTTGATATAAAACATCTCTGTGTGGCTAAATGTCTCGTCTCTCAAAAGAAATTTTAAAAAGTCTTATTGTGGATCGTTTGACATTCTCAAATGAAAGGTCTCCATTTTGTTTTTATATTTACTTAATCTCTGGTTCTTCTAGATGACTAAAAAGAGACAACTAAGAAGTATGTGGAGAGGAGAACTACCACGTCATGGAGAAACAATTCATATGAATAGAACCCGTAGGTTACGCAGGTAAATAAATAAAGATAAATAAATAAATAAATAAATATTGGACGAAATGGATTTATTTGATCAACAATATTTAATTTTAAGGATAGGTGCAATCAAGGAGAACTACATTTAAGGATAGGTGCAACCAATGAGAACTATATTTAAGGATGGGTGCAACCAACGAGAACTATATTTAAGGATAGGTTCAACCAATGAGAACTATATTTAAGGATGGGTGCGACCAATGAGAACTATATTTAAGGATGGGTGCGACCAATGAGAACTATATTTAAGGATAGGTGCAACCAATGAGAACTATATTTAAGGATAGGTGCAACCAATGATAACTATATTTAAGGATAGGTGCAACCAATGAACTATATTTAAAGATGGGTGCAACCAATGAGAACTTTATTTAAGGATGGGTGCAACCAATGAGAACTATATTTAAAGATGGGTGCAACCAATGAGAACTATATTTAAGGATGGGTGCAACCAATGAACTATATTTAAGGATGGGTATATTTAAGGATAGGTGCAACCAATGATAACTATATTTAAGGATAGGTGCAACCAATGAGAACTATATTTAAGGATAGGTGTAACCATTGAGAACTATATTTAAGGATAGGTGTAACCAATGAACTATATTTAAGGATGGGTGCAACCAATGAAAGCTAAATTTAAGGATAGGTGCAACCAATGAGAACTATATTTAAGAATGGGTGCAACCAATGAGAACTATATTTAAGGACGGGTGCAACCAATGAACTATATTTAAGGATGGGTATTTAAGGATAGGTGCAACCAATGAAAACTAAATTTAAGAATAGGTGCAACCAATGAGAACTATATTTAAGGATAGGTGCAACCAATGAGAACTATATTTAAGGATTGGTGTAACCAATGAGAACTATATTTAAGGATAGGTGTAACCAATGAGAACTATATTTAAGGATAGGTGCAACCAATGAGAACTATATTTAAGGATGGGTGCGACCAATGAGAACTATATTTAAGGATGGGTGCGACCAATGAGAACAACTATGTGATGGATAACAGAGTTCATGATCCTATCTCATCTCTAGGAGCAAGCACTAGGAATTTTGAACCGAACTTAATATTTGATATTAAATTTTTCCCTAAGAATATATTATTTTGAGGGAAGAAATAAATAAATTATTAGGTGAAAAGTATAAAATTGAATTGTTGAGTGGTTCTTAACTCTCTTTTTTGAATTATCTTTAAAGCACTGATAAATCTGATTTTAGAGCAATTTTTTTTAATCAGATGTTCATATTTATATTTTGTTCAGACCACTTCCCGAGTTACCTGATATTTCGGCATTCAACCCATCCGTATTCAACAGAACCAACCCACCAATACCAAGCAGAACCAAACCATTTGTATCCAACAAAACCAATCCATCTGTTCCAAACAGAGCCAGTCCTGTGTTATTCAACCTAACAAACCAATCAAATGAATCTGTTTCAACTTCTCCAGATAATATAATAAGATCAGGAACAAGCAGATCAGGAACAAGCAGATCAGGAACTGGCAGCGCTTCGTCAATGTATCCACCCTTAAGGCAAATATATGAAAAATAATAATTCCCCTGAATTAAATACATAAAAGGGGAAAATGGAAAAGGTGATATTTATTTACTAGATCAGTAATGATTTTAATGTCACCTATAAATGCTTCTATAAAATAAATAGCGATAAGAATGCATAAAATGAAAATGTTTAAATCTGATCCTCTTTATACTCCCTTAAAAAAAGAAAAAAAACGGTTTATAATTGTAAAAACGTCTCGCCCAAGTTCTAATTTTTCCTAAAATATTGCGGAAACTTAATTTTAGATGATTTTTAGTTTAGGTCTTTATTTTTCAAGTAAATATACATCCCTGAACTTTTACCAGGGTGTTGACAGGGTTTTCATTTTCAATAAATTTGCTTATCATATGTAGAGAGAAAAAGAGAAGTTTGTATTCTCACCATATTTATCAATCTCTTGAGGTAAAGGAATTTCTGAAATAATGTAAAAACTAGTTTTGTATTCAAATATTTTATAATTCTCGTCTGCTCTTCTCTTCATTTTTTCAATAAATTTAAATTTTTTAATGAAATTTGAAGCGCCCTAAACAAAGTACTTTAAAAATCAAATTTTAGGTTTTAAATATACCTGAGTTTAGCTAAACCTAGAGTCTTCGGTCAGGCTTTACTCATGAGTAATAAGACGCCAACACCTATACGTAGCAAACAGGCTTTTTGGACCTAATCGGATGGTGGGACGTAAAATATTCTCACACATGTTTGAAACATTTTCATACAGAAACTAAGGGGTATCCCGCATATTTGTTTATGTAGACTCCTTTTTAAACGACTATGATAGAATCTTTACAGTTTAATGACATAGAACTATTAAAAGTTAATTCTATTCTTCAGTGTGACTAAGAAAATTGAAATCTAATTTCTGAAAAACATATGGTACACATATATACTAAAGGTTTTACACGTAAAAATATCATTTTTATATTCACGCCACCTTGTTTACTTTAGAAAGAAATCTGTATATGAAATCCTTCCCTAATCTTAAGACGTTATGTAAATGTGTCGTTTAAAGGGATACCCACAAAGAATAAGACTTTATTGACCTTTTAAATGTAAGAATCTTAGTGTTGACTGTAGAATTGCATCTTCTTCCTCATACAAAGCTGTTCAATTGTATACTAGATAATTTGTCAAAGAAAAAGACGAATTAATATTCGTAAAGTCTCATATTTTGCAGATAACCCTGTATAAGAAATAGGGACTACTGTATTGCTTTAATGTAATGCTGACGCTGGAATTTGTTTAAGCCTTAGAGTTTTATAAATCTTAGCTCTGGTTTAGAACACTACAAAATGTAAAAGTTATGGAACTTTATTCTTCAAAGTAAAATCACTTATTATTCTGTCTGTACTGAACTTATTTTTAGAAAATATCAAGAAGAGATGAAAACCCGGAATCCTTTCAAAGACCAGGCAAGAAATATGGAAAGTTGAGAAAGGGTAATAAATGGGGAGTTTGAGGTTTTCTGAAAGTAAAGGTCTTTTCACGAGAGGGTATAGGGTGTACTAAGGGAGTAAAAGATGTATCAAGGAAGTGAAAGGTGTATTAAGGGAGAGAAGGGTATATCAAGGGTGTGAAGGATATATTAAGGGAGTGAAGGATATATTAAGAGAGTGAAAAATATATCAAGGGAATAAAGGATGTATCCAGGTAGTGAAGGATGTATCAAGGGGTTTGAGATGTATATAAAGAGTGAAGGATGTATCAAGGTAGTGCAGGGTGTATTAAGGGAGCGAAGTGTGTATCTAGGTAGTAAAGAATGTATCAAGGGAGTGAAGAATGTATCAAGGGAGTGAAGGGTGTACCATGGGAGTGAAGGGTGAACCAAGGGAGTGAAGGGTGTACCAAGGGAGTGAAGGATATATCAAAGGAGTGAAGAATGTATCAAGGGAGTGAAGGATGTACCAAGGTATTGAAGGATATATCAAGGGAGTGAAGGGTGTACCAAGGAAGTGAAGGGTGTACCAAGGAGGTGAAGGGTATTTCAAAGGAGTGAACGATGTATCAAGGGAGCGAAGGGTGTTCAAAGAAGTGAAGGATGTATCAAGGGAGCGAAGGATTTATCAAGGGAGTTAAGGTTGTATCAAGGGAGTGAAGTATGTATCAAGGGAGTGAAGAGTGTATCAAGGTAGTGAAGAGTGTATCAAGGGAGTGAAGTATGTATCAAGGGAGTGAAGGATGTGTCAAGGGAGTGAAGCATGTATCAAGGCAGCGAAGGATGTATCAAGGGATTGAAGGGTGTATCAAGGGAGTGAAGTATGTATCAAGGCAGTGAAGAGTGTATCAAGGCAGTGAAGAGTGTATCAAGGGAGTGAAAAGTGTATCAAGGGAGTGAAGGGTGTATCAAGGGAGTGAAGTGTGTATCAAAGGAGAAAAGGGTGTATCAAGGGAATGAAGGGTGTATCAAGGGAATGAAGGGTGTATCAAGAGAGTGAAGAATGTACCAAGGGAGTGAAGCATGTATCAAGGCAGCGAAGGATGTATCAAGGGAGTAAAGTGTGTATCAAGGGAGTGAAGTATGTATCAAGGCAGTGAAGAGTGTATCAAGGGAGTGGAGTGTATCAAGAAAGTGAAGGGTGTATCAAGGGAGTGAAGTATGTATCAAAGGAGAAAAGGGTGTATCAAGGGAATGAAAGGTGTATCAAGGGAATGAAGGGTGTATCAAGGGAGTGAAGTATGTATCAAGGGAGTGAAGGGTGTATCAAGGGAGCGAAGTATGTATCAAGGGAGTGAAGGATGTATCAAGGGAGCGAAGGATATATCAAGGGAGTGAAGGGTGTAGTAAGGGAGTGAAGGGTGTGTCAAGGGAGTAAAGGATTTATCAAGGGAGGGAAGGATGTTTCATGTATCAAGGAAGTGAAGGGTGTATCAAGGGAGTGAAAAATATATCAAGTGGGTGAAGGATGTGTCAAGGGAGTAAAGGATGTATTTAGGTATTGAAGGATGTATCAAGGGAGGGAATGGCGTATCAGTGGTGTGAATTGTGTAGGGAGTGAAGGGTCTATCAAGGAAGTGAAGGATATATGAAGGGAGTGGAGATGTATCAAGGGAGTAAAGGGTCTATCAAGGGAATGAAGGCTTATCAAGGGAGTGAAGGGTGTATCAAGGGAGTGAAGGGTGTATCAATGGGAGTAAAGGATTTATCTAAGGAGTAAAGGATATATATCAAGGGAGTAAAGGATTTATCTAGGGAGTGAAGGATGTATCTAGGGAGTGAAGGATGTATCTAAGGAGTTAAAGATGTATCTAGGGAGTGAAGGATAAATATCAAGGGAGTAAAGGATGTATCAAGGGAGTAAAGGATGTATCTAGGGAGTGAAAGATGTATCTTAGGAGTTAAAGATGTCTTTGACTTTGTAAAGTTGAAAATTAGTTGTAATTATTGTTCTGCTAAGTTATACACAAACTTGTTTACTTGGAAACCAGTAGAAGGGGTGTAAAACTTGTGGATTTGCACCCTTAGTTTGTTAATGTATTTAATGGGGGGGGAGATAAGCTTTAGGGGTAAATTCTGTTTACTAATCACTCTAATTGATTTTCCATGAATTGATTTCAAATACTTATATATACATAAACCCCTAAAGCAACTACGTTTGTTGTAATGTTTTAGAGGCCCTTGGTTCAAAGACCGGATATGTTCCAACTTCCTGTATCAGACAACATGGATCCACAGACAGGGTTTACCAGGTAAAGGGTTAGGAACTTAGGACAGGGGTTCATCTAGGAGGGTAAAACTTTACTTTGTGGCACATTTTATGGACGTGGATACTAATCGTGATTTTATGTTCTTTTATACATGTGTTGGTTGCATTTTTTGGGTTTTATGGGTGTATTTGGGTACCAGCCAATTGACTTTCGGACATGTATATATAAATTTAGCTTGTCTGGGTGTCTGTTTGTTTGTATCCAATAAACTTCAAAACGGCTGAACCGATCGGGCCCAAATTTTGTGTGGGACCTTTCGTGACCCCGTGGAAGGTTTATGAATGATCAAATTTTTAAAAATTTGTTTTTAAAAGTTTTTAATTTTACTAAAATTTTGAAAATGCGCAAAAAAAATTATGAAATCCGCAAACTTTTTTGATTTTGTTTTATACTGTACAAAGAGAAGATTTTCACAGATAAAGCCACAATTAAAAGTTGAAAAAGAAGATGGGGGCAAAGCGACCTAAAAGCCTTGTTATTTATAAATAATTCTGGAAATCTTCACTTTTATAGAATCTGCTGAAGTTCCAACTTCCAAACACCCCCCCCCCCTGTTCCTGAAAAAATATAAACCTGATAAATCTTGTCCCACTAAACAGGATAATTTCTTCTTGATAATTTCTTCTTGATAATTTCTTCTTGATAATTTCTTCTTGATAATTGGAGAAAGTGGAGGAATTGACGTGTTGTCTAATTGATATCTTGAAAGAATTTCTAAAAAATCTCATGGGGAGACCAGGTTTAAAACAACAAACCAAAATCTAAAATCTAAACAATTTTCCGCAAGGGGGCTTGTGCGAACCCATTACGGCTCCCCGCTCTCCGTTTATAACAGAAAACTAAGCATTATTTTGTTTAATTCTAGAAGTTGACTGAGCAGTTCTTTAAAGACGTCTTAGTACGACCTGAGACTTAGTTTATATATATTGATGCAATGAACAATTTATTTAAGTTGTTTTTATTTATTATAAAGGTTATGGATGAGAACCCGCCTGGTTTTAGAGAGAATATTTATATGTCCATCCTATCTTCAGGTCAGAATAATTAAAGAAATTTAATAAAATGTTAAGGTGTTATGTTAGATATCGCCCAAACGTAAGATAATTTCCAGGCTACTGTATTTGGTCTTAAATATTGAATTTCAAAATATTTTAATTTAACATTTTGCATGTCATGTTGTTCCCAATTTTAAGATCATTGTAACTTTAGCGAAGAGTAAAAGTTTAAATGGTTGATGTTTTTAATTCCTTGAATGAAAGACAACATCCTAGACGTATTATTGTTAACACTTATTTCTAGGATTGGTTCCTCTTAGTTAATTTTTAGTAATATGTTTGGGTTCATCATTTCTTAAAAATGGTATTTTAAAATACTTCTAATTTTTTTTGAGACTAAGTGAAAATTTTTCGTTTCTGTCGTTAACTTGCTGGTAGGGTGGTTGTGGTGGCAGAGCCAAGGGGGTAATATGCCACTAACAAGTGTTGATACCTCCGCCCCCCTTGCAAATTTCTGTATAGAAACTCCTGCATATCATATCTTAAATAATCATATTCCTCTGAAATTTGCAATGATATTATTTCAGGAAATGGTTCATCTGTTAACAGTAGAATATGTTCTACATTCAATACTCCATTGCCAGCTTCTAAACCATCTGTTCGATCAAAGGTAAGAGAAGACACAGGGCAAAGGAGACAGTGACACCTTCTAAAGATTTTCCTTTGCCCCTTTAAAATCATATTGTTCAAAACAAAACTAATCCAATTCTTCCACTTTAAAAGTATATACCGGAGAGCCAGACTGATCAAAGGTTTCTGACAAAATAATTCAAAGTATTCATTGATTTGAGAATGGCTATTTGAGACTTTTATGAAAGATGTTGGAAAAAAATAATTATTCAGATTACATGAAAGAAAAAAAAATTGGTTAAATTTCGTCTAAGGGAGCACAAAAACTTCTGTGCTATTAACTGATTTTTGGAGCTTATTTTGTATTTCAATAATTTAACTTGAATATTGGTTAGTTTTTTATTCCCCTGAGAAGAACTTGCATTTTTTTTCATACAAGTTTTTTCAATCAATCAATTTGTGGTATGTTATTTTAAAGCCACCCAAGTTTAGGAGACCAAGACCATCTATTCCATATCAAATCAGAATTTTTTTTGCAATTAAAATTATAACACGTCTTAATTAAACATACGTAGCAGGAGAGCTTATATATAGCCTTTGCGTTTTCACCAAGCCTCCTTGTGATCCTAGGAGAAAAAAACTTAGAAAATTGTGTAGATAATAATTCATTCCTAGAAAACAATGTTCAGACCTATCCAAGCCAAGCTTTGTTTAACTGTAGAGTATTTATTATTCTAAGTGTTTATCCTAGCTAACAACAAATCCCACAATTCCATCAAGGTTTAATTTAAGTTGCCAACAATGCGGTAATCTAAATATCCAGCCTTCTCTACAGAGTTACAAGTTATCATGTTGATAGTAACTTATGAAGGGTCTGTATTCGTGATTTCAACTGACCATCCATTTATAACGGTTTCATATCCGATTCACAATTCTGTATCCTTCAAACCTACGTCTGATCCATGGATTGACCGAGATCCTAATTTTTCTAGCCGAAAACTTGATTGTATATTGCATTGCATTGTGTTTTTTTTTCACTTGGTGAAACACGACCTCCTGGTATGGCTAACGTCTAATCTAATACATAAGCAATCTATTTAAGTAAGTAACATTAACAATAAAAATACGTGTTACAATATAAACTTTTGTACTCTAAACCTTTGCTTTTTTACACTACGTCAAATTTTGACCCTGACAGAAGATATATGCAAAAAATTACATAAAAATAGATCCAGAAACGATACAACCGCTTTAAAACAAATTAAACACTTTCTTTTTATCTCCTCAGACCAGAGACTTGAATGCTGGTCGATCCAAGATGGCGTCTATATCTAGTAGGCCAGCACAACAGCTGTTTAAACTGCCTCAAACCAGTTCAGTGTCAGCATATCCGCCTTACTTAAATGCTAATACGCACAGGTAACACTTTATTTCTGGCTTATCTCTTTTACGAACTGAGTCAACCCTAGCTTTTAACAGAAAACTGCATGACGTCATTTCTGTCTGTTTGTACAACGTTTTTTGTGAAGACTAGTCTAAATTGCCTTTTTCTGTTTTATTGTTTGTATTACTTTTTGAGTACAAAATATTACCGAGTTAAATTTGAGAAAACTGAAAACTTGACAAGATTATTTTGCAAAAATTTTAAAAGAGCAACAAAATAAAATTTTGAAATATGTTAGTTTGACTTAACGCAGATTGTTGAAGGGCCACCTGAAGGAAGTAAACTGATATTTCAGATTATAGATCTTAGTTTAAAAATAAACTTTTTTAGTCTAATTTTATCATCTCTATATCTTTGCAACCTTGCGGTGTATATTTTTAATTTTTTAAACATTTGATCATAGTTTTAAATTTCAAAGGTTTATAATTAGATGATTAGAATTTGTGGCGAGTGTTCAGGTTCTTTAGCTAAAGATTTTTTAGTTTGTAATGGCTGTGACTGAAAAATACATCTGAAGGTGATTAAGACACATTTTCAAGTTAAAGCAGAAGAAATAACAAAATCTTTCATAACGTTTATGAAACTATTGTGTACTTAATCATTCACACTCACTACATTGTGAATTTTATATTTGACTGGCTTTAAAGTAATCATCGTGTTATGTTAAATTATCTGTATATTATTATTATAGCACCGTGCTGTAAAATAGTCATCGTGCTAAAATGTAAAATTAGCTGTATATTTTAGCACTCTGTGCTATATAGTTTTGATTGGTTGCCGGATTTTATCCAAAAGATTTAGGATATTTCTGCAGAATATTCTTTTTCAATTTAAATGAAAATAAAAATAAAATTTACTTTAGATTTTTGTTCTGCCTTGTTAGAAATAATCATTGCATCAAGACAAGTACATAAACATTTCATTAAAAGTACCCATAACACTATCATTTGTTCTAAAGTTTCTGGACTTAAATTTTCTCTGTTTCTCAAGAGTTTTTGCTTTTTTAGATAATATTTCGTCCCTTACTTAAGCTCGGGACAAAATAAAATCTAAAAAGACTTGAACCTTTTTGATAAAGAGAAAATTTCTGTCTAAAAAACTTTAAAGCACTGGACAAAACAATAATAAAATAAATAGTTATCAATCAAAGACAACCTTTATTCCGCACTTTACTGGATTTAACTGTTATATGTATAATAATGTAATGATTATTGGCTCCTATCAAATACAAGCCAGATTTTTGAGATTAATTAGTTGCACCCATGGTTTAGGGTTTATGCAAATATTAGCATCGATCCCTTTATTAACCTCTTTATACATATCTTTCTGCGCCCAGAGTTATCCGAAGAGTCTCTGCTATGGTAGCCTTACAGTTCAAGCTAACCCTAGAGTCTTGCACTATGCGATGCTCAAGTTCAGCATCTATCTGTTGGTTATGCACAACAGGTCTGTGAAGAGCTGTTCCACAATGAGCGGCGTCTCCGTTCTCAGGATCCTGGAAGTCCTACTCCTAGCTCCCCTGTTTGTCTTAGATATACTAGTCATCCTATGTGTCCTGGATACCCTGGTTCCCCTATGTGTTCTGGATATCCTAGTTCTCCTATGTGTCCTGGATATCCTAGTTCTCCTATGTGTCCTGGATATCATACTTTTCCTATGTTTCCTGGATATCCTACCCGCATAGAACAAACGACCCTGTTTTTGAGTCTGAAAACGACCCGCACGACCCCAAAAACGGGCGCCGGCCCGACTCTGTTTTAGTACTAATAAAAGAGTCGTTTTTAGACCGAAAAGACCCTGAATCCGTCTCTCCTCAAAACGGATGGGTGTCGGGTTTCTGTCACGGCAGGGGGCCATTATCTCCCTCAAGATTTATTACTTTGGCGCCATATGTCTACATCTGCAAGCTGTCGAGA